TGTCCCCACCCCCTGGTGGAGCCCCTGGGACCAGGATGGGAGCCAGGCGTGCAGGCAGCCTGGCCTTGTGCCAGTCGGTGCCAGGAACTGGCTTGGGGAGCAAAGAGTCTGGACACGTCTATAGGGGCAGTTGATGTGGGCCACTTGCCCCAAGGGAGCTCCTGCTGTTCACTGGGGCTCAGAGGGTGGCAGCGGGCACAGGGTGCTTCTGGGAGCCCAGGGGCTCAGGTTCCCGCCTGCCTTCCTCTGAGGGTAGAGCTAACCTCTGTGGTTCTGATCTAAGGAGGGCAGCAAGGAGGGCAGGTAGACAATCGGCAAAACGCAGCGTGTAAATAAATCCCCAGTGCAGATCCCTCCTCGACACCTGCTAGACTCCGTGGGCAAGGCTCCTAACCTCTCTGGACTGTCATCTTTGGCAGGTGGGTGGTGCTGCTGATCCAAATGAAGCCTCCCTGTAACCAAGGTCTGCTCCAGGAACAGGGAGGAGAGAGAAGACAGCTGGGTGGGGGGTGTTGAAGGACAGGCTCTCCCTTGGGTCAAGGAAGTCCCCAGTCCACCTCCCACCCCAAGAGGAGATGCCTGCCCAGCCAGACCTGGAACAGTGAGTGGGAGTTTGGCACAGAGAAGCAGAGAGAATTGTGCTCCAGGCAGAAGGCACAGCCTGGGAAGACAGCAGGCATTTTGCCCAGTGAGCCTCCTTCCTCCCCTTAGGTCTCAGATCAGATATCACCTCCTCAGAGGGGTTTTCCTGCTCCCTCGATGAGAGGGGAGCCCTCACCCCCTGCCCTCCATCAAGGCAGCTTCTTCCCCTCCTTGCACTTAGGACAATCTTACTCGTTTGTTTATTATTTGTCTACACTGCCAAGTTCCCCCAGGGCAGGGACACTGTCTCTCCTGCTTGCTGCTATGTCCCAGAGTCTAGCACGGCACCTGGCACACAGTAGACACTGAACAACGTGCATTGAGCATGATTTGAACAAGTTAGCCCCCACTCTGTGCCTCAGTTTCCTCGTCTGTGAAATGAGCATCATAACAACACACACCTCGCAGGGGTGTTGTAAGAATTAAATGAGTTAGTATTTGTGGAGCCCTTAGAACAAATCCTGGCCCACAGTAGGTGCTCTGCATAAGTGTTTAAAAAATATATATAATAAATGCATAAGTGTGTAAAAAATATGAGAATTACAGATTCATAGATTAGAAAGTCGTAATATTGTAGATCAGCAAGCTGTATAATCTAACATGCTATGGTTTATATTTACATTTTATTCTCTATTTTACTTTTTCCCAGCTTTTTATTTTGACAAATTTCAAACACAAAGAAAGTAGAAACAAAAACAAAAAAACGGTACAATGAAAGCCTCAATTCACCAGTCATTGACTTTTAGCCTCCTGTGCTTTCCCTCTCGCTGGATAGAACGAGAAAGATGAATATTTATACTTTCCTTTTCTTGTCTTATTTTTTCATTCTGACCCATATGGGAGCCAGTTGAAGATGCCAAGATAATTTACCCCTAAACTCTTCAGCTGCTGTGATTTTTTTTTTTTTTTAATTTCTCACTCAAAGTGAATTCTCTGGAACCAATTATAACCGGTTCCCTGATCTTACATATCTGTAATTCTGCAAATCTACTAATCCATGAATCCTTGAACCTGGAAACATCTAGAAACCATCATCTGCTGGTTCTTGGAGTCCATACATGCTTGAGGTTCTACCTCTTGCTCATCTGGGATTCCTGGAGCCCTGGCCCTGTGGTTCAGGAAATCTGTGAGGCGTTTGTTGCCTCTGAGGCCAGATTCCCACTTCCCAGAAGATGATGCCTGGGACTGAGCAAGGGGAAAACCCAGCCGGTCCCACTCCAGACACAATGCCAAGCCCCAAGGATGCCAAGTGGCACAGGGGCCTGGGTCACAGGGGTGAGACCCTGGCCTGGCCACAGCCAGTGGCTCTGCAGGGCCTCCCTGGGGTGCCCAGGCCCTCCTCAGGCCAGCCCAGTCAGGGGCAGACATGCGGCCCCCAGCCCCGCCCTGCTCATGGAGCAATCCTCTGAGTCACTCCCACCTCATAACTTGCCTGCCCGTCACCACTGAGGCCTGTCATTAGCCTCCTCTGAGGCTGGGCCTTATCTGCCCTTCGGGGCAAACCAAGGAGGGGGACGCCTCTGAGTTCCCCCAGAGATGCGGCCCGTCATGGGTCTCAGTGGCACACGATCCGGGCATGCCTCTGCCATAGGGGGCAGCTAGCCCCAGGTCCAGAGGTTCATTTTTGACTGCCAGAATTTCCACTATCCATTCCCCGAAACTCTGCCTCAAGGTCTACCATTCAAGCCATTTTCCGGCTAAAATGTAAACCGATCACTTACTTTTCAGAGTGAATTTTCCAAAGCCCTGCTAGGGAACCAGCTCTGGTAGGCACCCAAGGGGTCAAGGAAGACCCAGTGGAGAGCCACCTGTGGTCATGGCTGTCAGGCAGGCCTTGCGGTGGGTGCCGGAGATGCAAGGACAGAAAGGATGTCTCCTTACCTTCTCCCCTAGTTGGCTGCCCCGACCCTGGAGGAAGTTACTGTGGTGCCCATTCTACAGATGAGGAGACTGAGGTCCAGAGAAGCTTCAGACCAACTCCTATTTTCCGGGGTATGGCACCAAGACTGTGCTGATGTTGGGGGAGTGGGTAGGGGCCTCTTCCAGGGAAGGGGTATCCCTCCACCCCCAGCAGAAAGGACAGTGAGGGCAGTCTAACTGCAATCAAACACCCCAAGTTCAAATCCCACTTAAACCCCCTGTGCCTCAGTTTCTCCAGCGGTATCTACTGCAGATAAAAACAACATCAGCCTCATCTGGTTGTTGTGAGAATTAAACCTGGCACATAGTGAGATGGCTTCTGAAGACACAGAGCAGGCTCTCTCCTTCATCCTCTTGATATTAGCAGATCCCTCCTAACCTGGGTTGAGGGGAGGCAGGGAGGCCACAGTGTGTCTCAACTCGGGGAGGCTAACTCTGTGTCCCCTCAGCTTACCCCTACACACAGGCTCCTGGGAAGCTGCAGCTGATCCCCAGGCTGCCCCCCACCCCAGGATGGGGTCCCTAGAATTAGCAACCCCAACCTCATACCTGCAAAGACATACACAGACACATCTCAAGGCCTGCAGCAGGGCTGGTTGCTTTGCAATTATTAATAATTTCCTCCCTCCATCCCTCCCCCAGACCTGCTCAACCAGTCTCCCCACAGGCAGCAGAGCTGGCCTGACATTTGAACCGACTATTATTCTCTCACTTCTGGGAGAAGCAAGAGGAAACATGGGACCTGTGTCTTGATCCTTGGGGTGGGGGAGCACCCAGGCCATCCACAGGTCCCGAGGCCTCGATCCCGAGGCTCTGGGCACAGCACTCAAGCCCCCTAGGGCAATGGGCTTGTTGCCCCTTTCCTGAAGACCAGGTAAGACAGACAGATAAAGCCCCTGCCAAGAGGCAGACCGGAAAACCCTCTTGAACGGGGGCAGGAGTATGGGGTGGTTAAAAGTCAAACTCAGGGTCTGGATTCACATCCTGGCTTTGCCCTTGACTTGCTGTGTGGCCTCAGACAAGTCACTTGCACTCTGTGATCCTTCATTTTCTCATCTGTAAAATGGGGTGATGAATCCCCACACTGCAGGGTCAGTGAAATTTAAAAAGCCCCAGGCCCAGTGCCTACCTGGTTTCCTGTGGCCAGGGTCTGCTCACATTCTTTCATCCTGGGAGCCCAGGGAGGCTGGGCCAAAGTGTGACACCTGAGACAGAGCCCTGAGGCCTGGGGACACCAAGATCTTGCAGTCCAGGACCATCTCCAGCCACATCTGGAATCCACCAGTGGGGACAGGTCAGGGTATGAGCCCCCCGATTATTCTCTTGTTCCATAATTAGCATTTGTGGCCTCTTCCTGACAGTTAGGCAGTGCCTGCAGCACCCAGCACACAAGGCCAGACCCAGAAAGGTCTGGCGCTTCCCAAGGCACCCACACTGGCCAGAAGAATGGAGGGTGGCTCAGGACAGTGAGTCCTGGGGCCATGGGGAACCACGGAAGACCTCTCAGCAGGGTCAGGACCTGAGCTGGGAAGGTCAGAAGGTTGAGATCAAACATTCGGGGCCTCACCAGCTATCCCTGTTACTCTCATGGAATATTAGAATGGCCAAGAACGCAAGCTGCCTAGGTTCAAATCCAGACTCCAATACCTCCATACTCCAATCTGTGTGACCACAAGCAAGTTACTGTGCTCTGCACTTCAGTTGCCATCTGTAAAATAGGGGTGATAATAGCCTAGAAGTGTGGGAGTCTATATGCAACAATGACTTATGAGCAGAGTACCTGGCATATAGTAGGTGCTCAATAAATGGAAACTGGTAGTCATTACTGCATCTAGCAAGTAATTTCACTCTTCATGTTTTCCCTCTGCCTGGTAGGCCCATCTCTGTACATCTCATATGAACTCCTATGCATCCCTTAAGGCCCCACCTAAATAGTCCCTCCTCTGAGGAGCCATCCCTGACCTCATACAAACAGACACACCACACACACACACACACACACACACACACACACACACACACACACACACACACAAGAAGTCCTCTCCTCTGGGCTCCCTGGCACCACACGTGGATGCCTCCTCCAGCAGCCTGGCCACACTACAGGTAGAGGAGCTGATACTATGAGGTTCTCCGTTAGATCACTGGTCCCTGGCATGGAGGGATGTGGGTGGAAGGTGTTCTTTCTCTCTCTCTCTCTCATTCGCTCACTCTTGCTCTCTCCCTCTCTTTCTCTCTTTCATTTCTTTTACAATTTCAAACAAAACAGACTCAAAAAATCCCCACAGATATGGGAAAAGCTTATAGTTTCCAGGCAAACTTTGAAAAATTTTCTCAGGACACTACCAGAGCAAAGGACAGTAAAGATTCCAAAAAGTTAAATTCAAGATTGAAAAGCCCTTTAATCATATGTATTACAGATTATTGTTTTTTTTTTTAAAAAGGAATACCACGTGGCAAGGTAAGAAGAATAGAGCAGACCTGTGTGTGCTGATCTGGAACAGTGTCCACGATAAGCTGTCAAATAAAACAAAAATAAAATAAGGGGTAGAATGAGCTATGAAATGTATTGGCTACCATTTGTGTAGGTAGAAAGGAGACAGGAAAGGACAATTTATATATTTGTATTACATAAATTAGCTCTGGGGAAAAGAAATTGGTAAACAATGTCTACTTCTTAGGAGAGAAAGTTGGAGACTGGGGGTCAGGAAGGGTGGAGACTTACTTTTCACTCCATATTCTTTTGTACTTTTTGGATTTTGTACCTCTTACTCAGAGTAGCTGTTCAAAAATAAGCGCATGAATAAAGTTTAGGGCTTTGGAAGACACATACTCCAGCACCAGGCCCTGCCTGATGCAGGAACACTCCTCAGCACCCCTGACAGGCTATCCTGCCTTGAATGCTCCAGCGATGGGGAGCTCAGTAACTCACCAGCCAGCAATCCATCCTGGGGTAACTTTGAAGGGTGGGTTTGGGCTCAAGGAGAGAAGGCAGAAATGTGTTTCTGGGGCTGCAAATAGATGGCTCTCTCTTGCCCCTGAAAGTGCGTAGAAATGTGAGTTCCTGACTAGGGACCTGCTCTGAGGGCCTGCCTGTCCCGAGGCCCAGGCGGGAGATGGGCAGGGTGGCAGGGTGTGCTCTACTGTGACTCAGGCCCCACGGGTGCCTGGGGCACAGAAAGCTTCCCAGGACACAGGGCTGTGATTCAGGGTCACACAGCGGGGCCAACCCAGGCGGCAGCTGGTGGGCCACCAGCACACCCGTGCCCTTCTCATCCTCAAACCCCAGCAGGGCCTCTGTCCCAGGCACACATCACCTGGCTCACCAATGGCCCCCTTGGCAGAGGGTGGCATGGGGAGATTAAGGCTCTGGCACCAGACAACCTGGGTTTAAATCCTGCCTCTGCCATTCACTGGCTTGAGCCTCTGTTTCTCCATCTGTACAGGGGACAGGTATACTGCCTTGCATCCTCATAGGGCTATTACAAAGATGCTCTGAATTCACTGGGTACACACCCTGATCAGCCCCAGCACCGAGTCTGCACTCAGTAAATGTCAGCCGTTACTACTGTGGGTGCCCAGACTGATGTGGGGGTCACTGACACTGGCGCCTCACAGGGAAGCCTGGGTGCCCCCAGTTCACCCTGCATGGCCTGGTGAGCAGGCCCAGAAGGAGCTTGCCTCCAGGGACACCCGGGTTCAGAAAGATCTACCAGGCAATCCCAAGGGAGCCCTAGGTCCCCTGACAGATTGTCAGTTCTACGAAGGCAGAGGCTTTCCTCTGTCTCATTGGCTGTGTCCCACGCTTGGAATAGAGCCTGGCACACAGTCAGGGTGGGCTTCATGGCCGTGTGACCCAGGCCCTCACACAGGGCCCCATGTCAGAAGTTCCCATGCTGGCACCATCCTGAAATTCTTAATTTTGAATGAGGGGCACTGCATTTAATTTCGTACACGGCAACTAAAATTCTATAACCAGTCACGTACATAGTTGACACCAGTATGGACTTCTGAATAAATGAATGGCCAAATGAATGCTGCCTTATATTATCACTTTTCTCCTTCTACCCTGAGTGTCGTGGATTCCAAGCCTCCTTTTACAGACGGGAAAACTAAGGCTCATGGAGGTGAACAGACGCACCCCAAACCACCCAGAACTAGAACCCAGGCCTATCGGGCCCTAAAGCCCTGGTGCCCATGGCCACCTCAAGTACAGCAGGGTGGCTTCTCTGTGACAGGGGAGGCCAGAGCCCTGTGGATCTCAGGGGAAACTGAGGCTCAGCTCAGGGTACGAGCTGGCCCAGCTTCACGAGGGTGCCTGCCCGGGAGGCGGCCTGGCCAGGTGCCCGGTCAGGGCGTGGGGACCACTGTGAATCGCTCCTCAGTCCCTGCCAACCACAAGCGGGTTGGGTGAAAGGCGGCTGCTCCCCGCCCGCTTCCCCGCCAACATGGGCCCAAACAATGGGCCTTTGTGCCTGGCGTGGGCGGGTTGTCAAGGTGCGCAGCCCTGGCCCTGAGCCCTGGTCTCAGCCTCCATGAGGGCAAGGGGGCCGGGCCAGTGGGTCTGCGGGGGCCGGGAAATCCAACAGACAAGGAAGCGAGGCCTCCCTAAGACAATCACAGCAAAGGAAATCGGGGCACAGAGAAGGTGCACCAGGTACCCAGAGCCACACAGCACATGGGCATCAGAGGCAGGTCAGCCACCTGGGACGTCAGCCTCCCACTCACTGTGGCCTGAGTGTCCCCACTCTGCAGCAAGGGGCTTGGTTATCCCTGCTGCTGAAACCTGCCCTCAGGGGGGTCAGCAGAGCCAGAATCCCCCTTCCTCTCTCTTCTCACTGCCACCATGTCCCCTTTCCAAAGCAGCTCAGCCAGAAGTGACAACCTTCCCCGCCCCGTCTCTGGAAGTTCCCTGGACTGAATGAGCCACAGAACTGCTAGGAAAATGTTGCCCCCTTGGGGCCCCACCTGACCTGCTCTAGAGCTCCTTCTCCTTTGAAGCCATCTACCATATGCCTGGCAAGAAACTACCTTGTCAGGTAGGCATTGCCATGAGCCCCATTTTACAGGAGAAAATAGAGGCTCTGAGAGGGGGCTGGGCTCGCCCAAGGGCACCCACCCAGGATGCAGCAGTAGTGTGTAGTTAGACTCCAAATATTTCCAATGACCTCCAGGAGGAAGATGGGAGCAAAAGAGCAGGCCCTGCCCTCGCAGCACCTACCATCTAGTGGGAAAGTCAGAAGTCAACAGCAACAACAGTAATAATAACAAGTAGCTACCAGTTATTGAGCATTTACTAAGTATTTTACATATGCGATCTCATTTCATTTTTCCAAAATCACTGGGAGGTGGGTATTATTCTTATCCCCATTTTCCAGATGAGGAAACTGAGAAGCTAAGATGAGGCAACGTACCCAAAGTCAATCAGCTAATAAATAGATTCAAACCCTGACCACTAAATGTCTCTGCTCACTCAACCCTTGCCAGGCAGGGTGAATGATCCCAAATGACAGATGAGGAAACTGAGGCTCTGAGCAGCAAAGTGACATGCCTAAGGTCACATAGCCAGAAAATGAGAGGAGGGATTCAACCCCGGGTTTCTGGCCTCCAGAATCCAAGTCTTGTTTCCTTCCTCCTCCACCTCAACCAAGTTCCCTAAAATGTCCCTCGAAACCATCTGCACCAGCAGCCCCTCATCCTCATCTCCCACCTGATTGGATGCAACAGCCCCTCCACCCCCATCCTCGCTGGCCTCACTCAACACCTAACAGATGCTTATGAAAATCTGGAAAGAGAATCCCAGTTGGGAATAAGCTAAACGTAAAAGCTTGGAGGAGAACGCTGTGGTCTGTTCACAGGACAGATCCTACATCAAGAATAAATAGATGCACTCAAGCTGCTACACCAACAGGGACGGATCTTGGGAACAGAACATTGAGTGGAAAAAAAGCAAGTTGCAGAAGCAAAAGTACAAGTGACACCATCTGTAGACTCACACCCACAACCAAAACAGCGCCCCAAGTTTCTAGGGGACGTGTGTGTGTGTGTGTGTGTGTGTGTGTGTGTGTGTATAAAAGCATAAAGATGTTGTACAACCACTTTGGGAAACTGGCCATAGCTACGGGAACTAAACATGTGCATACTCCATCATCCAACAACCTCACTCTTGAACATAATACTAAAAGAACTACGTTCTTATGTCTACCAAAAGGTATGTACAAGAATGTTCATAGCAACACTATTCAATATACTGGAAACTGGAAATAATATACATCTCCATGGACAGTAGAGTGATTAATAAACTGTGGTCTATTTAAACAGTAGACTACTATGCAGCAGTGAATAGGGGTGAACCATTGACACGAACACGGGTAAATCTCACGGGCACAGGTTGAGTGAAAGCACCAGATACAGAAAAGCACACACAGAATGATTCCATTTGTATGAAGTTCAAGGATAGAAAAACCAAAGGCTAGGAATGGCCTGTGACTCGATCTGGGTGGTGATCCCATGGGCCATCAAACTGTACAGTTAAGATTTGTGTATTGTACTGTGTGTACTTTGTACCTCCATCAAACAAACAACAGAAGGACAAAGACACCGGTGGAACCATGAACACCAAATCCAGGTCTGCAGTAACTTCTAGGAGAAATATAATTGGGAAGGGGTATGGGGGGCTGGGGGCAGGTGTCATCTATACTGGAGGGTTTTCTTCTTAAGCTGAGTGATGGCTCAATGAAAGCTTATTATATTTTCCTTTAAACTTTTTTGAATGTCTAAAATATGTCATTGAAAAAACAAACCCAAACCAAAGACAATATCCACAGCTTCTCCTGCTCCAGAAGGCACAATAGCCCCTGCTGCCTACAAGCTGAGGCCCACCCTCCTTTTGCATGCCATTCAAGGTCTCATCCTGGGCCTCAACTTGTCTTTCCAGCCTCCTCTCTCACCCCTCCCCACCAGCCAAGCTGGTCTCCTCACTCTTCTCCTAACACGCCTTAAACATTCCCAGCTACACGCCTTTCCTCCCACCTGGAATGCCCTCCCCATTCCTCTCTACTTGCTCTGTGCCAGGCATTATGCCATGCTTTAAGCTATTAACTCCTGAAATCAGGGGCTGAGCCATGGGGAGATTGGAGCATTGGTTTCAGCCCAAAATAATCTCCATTGGGCCCCCGCCCCCCCAAAAGCTACCCCAAATCATCCAAGCACAAAGAGTGGTCCTGCTGTGCCACAGTTTCAAGACATGTTCCCACACCCCATTTCCTGAGCCCCTCCAGTAGAGAAATTCTGGCCCACCACTGGATTAATCTTCACTCATCCCTAAGGGTTGGGTCTTTTATCATTCTCGTTTTACATTGGGGGAAACTAAGGCTCAAAGTGGCAAGTGACTTGTTCAAAACGCTCAGCTAATACTGTCTTGTTCCTGAGATCTTTTCGTCCCCTGAAAGCTTGCAGTCATGATTGGCCCCAAGCTTGTTCCTGCCTCAGGGCCTTTGCACTTGCTGTCCCCTCTCCTGGAATGCCCTTTTCCTTGATCTTCCAATGCCCAGCTCCTTTTCATCATTCTGGTTTCTGAATTCAGGTCAGAGCAGCATTCCCAGATCCCCACTCCCACCCTCAGTGTAAGGTAGTCCCACCCCTATTTTTATCTATCACACAACCATGCTTTATTCTAGTCACGTAACTTAGCACTGCCTAAAATTGTTCTGTATATTTATTCATTCACTTCTCTTTTATCTGCCACAGGCACACCCCCTAAGATATAAGCACCACAGGCAGAGGTTTTGTCATGCAGTGTTGTGTACCAGGGTCTGACACAGTAGGTGCTCAGTGAATGAGCTAGAAGAACACAAATCACTGACTGATTGTGCCTACCCGGGATCACTCAGCGAGGATACAACAAGAGAAGGGCTTCGGTGACCATCTGGGGCCAGAATCTTTGCTCTTCATCATTCAGCTCTGTGAAGGGCCAAGGTTGCATTGTATCCAAAGAAGGAGGAAAGGAAGGTGACAATGGGCCAGTCTGTGTGGCCTGGCAGGCCCCCCCAGAACCCACCAAGCAGGTTGAAAGAGCCCCACATCCCATTGAAAGCATACATTTTTTGCTGTTGATACTTCTGATTTTGTGTAATAGTATGATTTTGCCTTTATGTTATTGTTAATTTTTAGTTTCCTCTTTGTATTTTAGCCCCATTTTCCCAGGTTTTTAGCATTTTCATAGATGCTTATAAAGCCTGTATGGCCCCATAGGTTAGAGATAAAAACAGAGTAAGAGAGAGATGCTGAGATATGGGGAGAAAGAAACAGAAACTTAAGGAGGGACACTGAGGCAGAACAGAGAGAAACAGGTGGACACGGAGAGACAGATGCAGACAGAGAGAGACAGAGAGCATGATGATGACAGAGAGAGAGAGGAGAGACCACAAGGCAGACAAAAGGACCTGACTCCACATCTCCTTAACATAATATGCACCTCAATAACAATGACGATATTTATTGAGCACTTACTACATGCAAGTACATGCTACACACTTTTATGTGAATAATTGTGTTGGATTCTCACAACCACCCTATGAGGTGAGTGTTACTCTCATTCCTATTTTAAAGATAGGACATTGAGGCACAGAAAGGTCACCCAGCTCACTCCCAGTCACACAGCCAGCGGTGGTGAAGCCAGGTTTAGCCTCAGGTCTGCCCCAGACCCAAGGCTTAACCACTTCCTCCAGTAATGGGTCTTGGGGTTTCTGGATTTGTTTTAGGGCAGCTCTTCTCAAAATCGGCTATACCAGCAAAATGCAAGCCCTGATGCAACAGGGCTGGGGTGGGGCCCAAAACTCTGCATTTCTAACAGCCCCTCAGGTGGGCCCAATGCTGTGGGTCCCAGACCACATTCTCGCAGCAGAAGTTTAGAGGAGTCTGTTACTCTGAGGATCTGATTGGCAGCCACTCTGATCACCATCCATCCCACAGGCCCTGGGGCTCTGTAAGCCCCTTTGGGTCAATCTCTTCTCAGCACTTCCTGTTGCTCTGCTCTCAGATTCCTGGGAATTCCCCATAAGCTGACTGCTCAAGTACACAAAGACAGCTGCACAAAGATATTCATTGCGGCATTGTTTATGGGAAAGACAAATTGGAACCACCTAAATGTCCACCAGTTGGGGACTGTTAAATACACTGGGATTCATGCAGCCATTGAACATGGTGGCAGAGCAAACCTCAAAATATGCATGACATCTGACCCACAATTTCACTTCTAGGAATACATCCTACAGACTTGCACATGGGCACAAAGACGTTTGCACAAGGCTATCTGTTGCAATTTGTAGTGGCGAAAGCCTACAAGCACCTCAATATCCATGAATAAGGAACTGGTTCACTAAACGGTCCATTTCTCCAAGGGATTACCACATGGGCTTAAAATTTTAAAAAAAAAGGATGGTCCTTATGCACCTATGTGGACCCTCTCCAAGATTTACTGTTCAGTGAAAATAACAAGGCATAGAAACAGTGTGTAAAGTTTTCTACTGTCTGTAAGGAGAACAAGAAGAAAGAAAATATATGCTTTTATTTGTCTATGCATAGAATCCTCTGGAAAGCAAAACAAGAAAACATCTCAACGAGGAACTGAGAGAACAGGGGTGGGAGGGAGACAGCCTTTTTACCATACACTTCTTGTACCTTTGGTATTTGGTACCATATGAATCCATTATCTATCGACAAAGATTAATAAATGTTAAAAAAAAAAGTTTAAATGATAGAAGAGTGCTACATTTAGGGATGCGGGAGAATGCTTATGATAAATTATCGAGGAGAAAAAGGAGACAACCCAATTTATATAATATAATATTCACATATATCCATGCATGTAGGTATAGAGAGAAATATCTGGAAAGACTGTCACTAAACTGTTAACAACTCGAGTCACTGCTATTTATGCACTACCTGCGTTAATTCATTAATCCTCACAACAATGGCAGGAGATGGACAGACTGATATTGTCCTCATTTCACAGATGGAGGGATCAAGGCCCAAGAGGTGAGGTCTCCTGGCCAAGGTCTCACAGCCAGGGCAGAGTGGGATTTAGAGCAACAACCATCGGGCTGCAGGGCCCTCTCAGTTCAAATTGGGTGATTTTTACTTTCTGCTTTGAATTTTTCTGCACTGCTGGAAATTGAAGCAATGAACGTACTTATCTGTCTGTCTGTCTCTCCCCGTCTCTCTCTTCCTACATCCCTCTCCTTTTAAACAAAGCTTTTAAGAAAAGACCCTCAGGACACCCATGTCACCACATCAGCAGCCCCTCCCCT